ACCTAATTGTCAAGGTTTTTCGAAGTATTGCAACAAATCAAGCTCGCTCGCACTGGGGTAGGAGTCCGAGTGGGGAAGACCTTAGTCCTCCCTTACCTCTAGGGTTTCAAGTCCGTTCACCGGCGCACCGATCTTCCTCACCCCAATAAACTGCAGTCAGAGACTTCTATTTCCAATCTTACTGTAATCCTAATTTAGGAAAAGGGATGGGAGAGATTTGGGCATGGCTGCTCTTTTTCTTCATTCTCATTGGTATTCTCGTCATGCTAGTTTTCCAGGTCTGTTCCTTTCAAAACCTTAACTTATATATAATCGAACACATAATGTTAATTAGTTCAGTTGATATTATAATTCTTGCTATGTTTATGTTTTATTGTGTTAAAATTAGAGCAATGCTAACTAGGAGATAAATCTCGTAGAGAAAATCCTTATTAGTTGCTATTTTTGTATTAGCTTTTATTGCTTTTACACAATTGAATGAATAATGTTATCTAGCACAAGTAGTGTTAAACATTAAATGATAGATTCACATAAATGTAAGGATATATGGTCTGTTTGATTGGCATTATGACACCTATAAACATGACTAGTGCTAGATAGCATAACTCTAATTGAATATGATAATTGTAGTGAGGTGGAAGATCAAAACTTTCTTGTTGTGTTGCTTGAAAGAAAATCTGGTTATCGTGAATCAAATAAAGTATGGTTTTACTTTCACCATTATGGATTGCTCAACAAAGTGGATTATAAAAATAATAATAAAAAAATTTAATTTGTGTAATAGGTGACTCTAGAATGGTTTATTTGGATTCAAGAGTTGGAGAGTGGATCTTGAATTGGGATCGTTTCATTAAAATCTCTAAGAATCCAAATATTAAGTTAACCAGGAAGGTGGCTGTGTGGAGTTGTAACTATCGGAATTGGAATTGTATTGTTTGAAATGACTTTCTGAATATACAATTTCGAGGCTGTAAGTGTAATCTCATGCTACTATTCTATGTTCATGCAGTCGAAATTTTTCATGAACTGGTGTCGTATGAAAGTTAGTTGAGCTTTTCATGTATAGTATGGATATTAAAAACTCTTCCCTAATGATGGATTTATGTGGAATTTGAATTATTATGGGATAAAAAACCATACCGGTTTTAATTATTCTTGATTTAAATCCTAAACATAAGTGTGCTAGGACTAGCGGCTTCATTTTTGACATATTCACTGTGGATGCCATTAATTTTGTGACCTTCTTCTGGAGTCTTTGCATGTAAAGGATGAATTTTTTGTCACATTGACTTCAACGAGTTAGAAGTCGAGCGTAAAATTCAAAATTCCTTCTCACACTGAGAAGTTTTAGATAAGCTTTAACTTGGTCTCATATGTTTTATTGCTTCCTAATGTTGCCTAGTTTTTGGAAGGTAGAGGAGAGGAGAGGAATTTAATCTAGTACAACTGTAACGTGATATGGAATGTTTCACCTATTTATGATTAAAAGTTTGCTATGTACTACAATATGTTGTGTTAACGGACTTCCCAAAGTGGAAGTTACATGGTCAAAGAATAAGATTGTTATTAGTTGTTTAATGTCAGCTAAATTAGGTTTGGAGCTTCAAACTAACAATGTTGATGTGTCATGCAGCTTGTGTGCTTGGCAGATCTAGAATTTGATTACATCAATCCTTATGACTCCTCATCCCGGATAAACAAAACTGTTTTACCCGAGTTCATTACGCAAGGAGTTTTGTGCTTCCTTTTCCTCTTGACAGGGCACTGGGTTATGTCCCTTCTCTGCATTCCGTACTTATATTACAACGTGAGATTGTAAGTTTTCTTAGGCTTTCCTTCGAGACTTGAATTGATGCAGGTTGTATAAATCTAGCTTTGCTTTTATGAATAAATAACTAATGTGCTTTAAGAAAAAAGTTGTCCATCCAAGCTGCAATAACTTAAATGCTGCTTCTTCTTCACGTGCCCTTATCCTTCTGCTGCTTGTGTGCGATTAACGTTCATTTGCTAAATTTTTAAAATGCATGCTCTATTTGAGATGATTGTTTCCTGAATGATGCACACAAATTTGTTTCTCGGCACACAGACGCTTGCACAGCAGAATCACACCCATATATAACAACTTGGTCTTTTCTTCTTTCCAGCAATGGTGTTTGTAGACTCTAGTTGATTTGATCCAGAGATCTGTTTTTCCCTCCTGTTTATTGCTTTTCAAATTTGTTTATAGAATGATACGATAAATGTATGGAAGAGCAAGTGGTAGTAAGAGGCCAAAAATCGCATTAACTGAGTGAATGCATCTGATAAGTATTTTGAGCAGTCATGCTCTTTAGAATATAAGCTTGGAATGGCTTCATTTACACATTTGGAGTTTGTTGTTTCAAGTGAGCATCTCAATTTTACTGGCAAAAGGACTACAGACTTTTCTTCTACCTTTAATTCTACCAAATGTTGCTGTTTTTCATTGACCTTTTTTTTTTTTTTAAATTGAAACGGACTTCTGAGTTTTGAAAAAACTAAAAAACATCAAATGGGTAGTTCTTTGTGTGTGATTAAACATAATGAGGTATTTACAAAAAAAAAAAAAAAAAAAAAAAAAAAAAAAAAAA